AAAAACAGGGCGCAGGCGCGTATGAGACATTGTAATGCGATTAGAAGAGAGAGAAATACGTATGCAGAGCGATTCACGCGTTAACCACCAGGAACTCGTTGTCAGACGACTTGCCAGAACTGCCCGAGTCAGACTCCTCGCTGTCATCCCGTTGGATCAACTCGCCAGCGAGCGCGAACGCGTCGATGATGCGCTCGTCGTCAGCTTGATGGATGGATGTCCAGAACCTTTTGGTAAGTTTACCGTAGTGGTCCTTCGAGAACGGGAGCGGGGCAGAAGCAGAGGGAGCGGCGGGAGTGGAAGCGGCGGAAGCGGGGGCCCCAGCGGCCTGAGCTTGATCCTCAGCAACGTTGTCGCTGGCGTTGCCGTCGCTATCGTCGGCCTGCTTCTTCTTTCCCTTCGCCTTCGCCTTCGCCTTCCGTGCCCTACCCTTCTTCGGTCTAGCCTTGGCGTTGGCCTGTGCCATGTACTTCTTCGCCTTGGTGAATCCTTCGCTGTTCGCGGAGCATCCCGAGCGGATCGTGCTCTCGAGAGCATCGCCGACGTTCCCGAGCTTGCCTTCGATGTTCATTTCGAGCGCTCGGCAGGCCTAGATACCATCAGTAAGAATTGATTGAAGAGATAATGAAGAGACTTACAGCTGAGGCGGCCAAGGCAAAGGCGCCATAAGGGAGATATTCCGGCTCATGATATTTCGCCAGATCGGGGACGCGGACGAAGCCCTGGATAGCCTGGAAATGACAAGAGAGAACCATCAGAAAGTATGAGCCCCGGAACGAGCCAAAAGGTCTTCCGTTCTCGAACTTCTCGTACACGAATGCGTTGTGAAGAAGTAGCTCCTTGGAGTAGGTGATGCGCTCCTCCTCCTCGATGGTGTTGCTGCCGGCAAAGACGAAGAGAAGAGCAGAAACGGTGGTGGAGCTGAAGTTGTTCCGCCAGAGGTAGAGGCGGTCAACAGTCTGCGCACCCGGGGAAAAATCAGAAAAATTCGCACAAGAGAAAGAAGCACTTACGACACTAACAATGGCCGGAAGATGCTCCGGAGGGGGCAGAGAGCCGTAGACAACGCGCCAGATCTTCTTGATCAACTCCGGCAACTCTTCATCCTTCCACACCGCATCGTAGTCTTGGGCCCCATAGTACATGCAGACGGTGGGCATGTACTTGCCGGAGAACTTCCGCTCGTCTCGCGAGCCAGCTGGCAAGTCGTCCATGGTGTACTTCTTGCCTTTGAGGGGCGGCTTGACGTTGATGGGTTCAGTGACAGCCTGGGAAGTCGGTGTGTTGCCCGAGACGACACCTCCTTCGGACCGTTGAGATACGGGTGCGCGGGAGGAAGAGGGGATGCGATGGGAAGAGGAGACAGAGCGATGGGAAGAGGAGACGGAGCGATGGGAAGCGGAGGTGTAGCGGTCGCCTCCGGGAGCAACCTTAGCACGCTTTGCGGGGTGCTCGTCGGGCTTCGAGGCCTTCGCATGCATCTGTAATGTGTGAGTGAGAATCAGAACCAATATGGATGCCCACGTACAGAGTTAGTCGTGCGCGAACGGCTGCCCAATGACAGCGGCTCCGTGATGGCTGCATCGTCCCCACCGCCCTGCTGAACCTCCATGATGTCGTCGTAACGATCATCATTATCTTCAGCTGGCTCCTGCTGGGCCTCCACCCCTGCGTCCTGAAGCCGCACGTTGGGATCCAGTTCGATGTCTTCGGGTCCATCTTCATGCATGTCACTCCCGTGGTCTGCATGGTCAACCTCTTCCATCTCCTCATCTCCGGATCTGTCCTTGTCAACGTCCTCCTGGTCGTCATTGTCTTCAGGGCTATTAACGCTCTTGCCTCCCTCGTTGCCGGTTTGCCTGGGATCAGTACCGACCTCAAGTTCATCACAACCGATGAAGATCCGTTCGTTGGAAAGAGCCTATTTGGGTATGTCAACAACAGTCCGCAAGGTATAGTTCTGCTTACCTCGTCATCCTCATCCGACTCGAGTGCAGCAGCCTGGACGTCGTCAAAGTGTCGCTTGAGGGGGGTGGACCGGGGTAGGATATTCTGCGTGGGGGGGCTCACGTCCGGAGTGGAGTCTCGGTTGACAGAGACAAGTGTACGCTAAAGCCCTCGTTAGACTACGGAGCTAAACTAAATATAAGATAATCACGACTTACGTTGCTTTGAGCATTGACGACGTAGTCCCGCTCCTTGGCAATGTCCTCAGGCTCGTCATCGTCGCGAAGGCCAGGAGCTTCGTCAAGCTCTTTCTCCACCGGTGCTGGTGCCGGTGCTGGTGCTGGTGCCTGTCGAGTGTTACTTGAGGTCTTGCTGGTCTGGCTGAGCGCGGACCCTGCCTTGCTTGTCTTGGATACAGACGTGGCATTGGTGAAAGCGGTAGAGGCAGTGGACTTGGAGCGGGAGGTGTTGCTGGGTCCAGACCGAGTGTCGGCAGGGATGTTTGCAGTCCAATCAACGATGCGGGGAATGGACTTGAGTTGGAATGTCCTCGGTTGACTATAATATTCAAGCGCGAGATCACGCCAATGAAGAGTCAGTTCCGATAGTTGCAGTAGCATGATGGGGAGGGGATGGCAATGGTGAGAACAAAAAAAATGATGCCGGAGTGATGGTGGTAGTAGTGGGTGAGAGAGTGAAACGAAGACTTACAGCACAATGCTGGCATTGCCATTCCTGGCCGACTTCTGAATGTCTGCCTCGTTGGCTTCTTGATGCTTGCGCCTTGCTTCGATATCCTTGCGAGTAACTGCACGCTCATCTCTCGACTTCTTCTCTCTCCTCAACTTTACCTGGATGGTGCCTACACAAGACGGTGAGCAGTGACAACATTGGGCGGAATACTAACTAATACTTGCCATCAGCCGTTACTGTCTCAGGGAGGGCAGTACCGTCAGCAACTGACGCCGACACTGACTTTGTGGAGGTAGGTGCCTTGGGCGCTGGCATTGTCACAGCCGCGGGAGGGTCTGCTGCTGTCGGAGCCAATCTCGGCATTGCACGGGGCTTGGGCTTGGGCTTTGTCTGCTTCTGCTTCTGCGCCATCTTGAGCTCAATGGCGGCTACATTGTCCTTTGCTTGCTCTTCCTTTTCGGCTTGCTCTTCCGCCCGCTTGCTGGCATCGTCCTCGACTTCCTTCCGGGTCCTTCGCTTCTTCTGCGGGAGCTGCTCCCGCACTTGGGCAACAGCCTTGCTCTCGTCTGTCTTCGCACGAGTGTTTGGTCGGGTGGTGGGCTGGTCAGCCATGACAGATGGGATAGCGGTGGGGATATTGGGCAGGGAGTGCTGCTGGTCTGGAAGAGGTGCTGCGAGAGGTAAAAAACGAACACGGTTGAACACGGAGATTTAGTCAAGGTGGGAATTGTTTCGATCTGCGCTCGCGTAACCTCATCCAAACGTAACTTGTTTCCCTTTGTCCAGGTTCCCTCCATTCAGAAAATAAACCGTCCACCTCACCGCCATGCCACTTTGTCCCTGGAAAGGCTGCAAACGCGTCCTCAAGAATGAGGCAGGTGTCACTCAACACGTCAGGTCGAAGCACAGGAACATCATTCGTCAACGAAGATATCACCAGGCTGCCCCAAGTCTCAGCAGTGGCTTGCAATCCCTCTCCCAGTCGGCTCCACCTTCGGTAGCTCACCATCCTCCTGCTACTCAGCTCGGCACGCTCTCTCCTCTCGACACTCCCCCTCCTCTCAATGCTCCCTCTCCTCTCAGCGCTCCCTCTCCTCTCGGCGCTTCCTCTCCTCTCGGCACTCCCTCTCCCCTCCACGCTCCCTCTCTCCTCCACACTCCCTCTCCCCTCCACGCTCCCTCTCCCCTCCGTGATCCCTCTTCTCTCGGTACTCCCCCTCCTCTCGGTACTCCCGCTCCCTTTCCTCCCCTCACTCCTCCAGCTTCCGCAGAGCGTTCACCTGCTCCCCAATCCCCACACTCTCCTCAAACTCCATCATCCCAGCCACTTCCTTGCACGTCACCCCCTCCCTGGTCGCCACCTTCCCCCAACAACTGGCCTCAAGAACATGAAGATGATGATGAAGACGGCACTGGGGAAGTAGCCGACCTAGGACCCATTCGGC